CCTCCGCCCCCAGGACCTTTACCAAGGTCCTCGCAGTGTTAGCTGCCCACCTCAGGAACATTCCCATCCCTCTCCAATGTTACCTGGACGACATTTTAATCCTGTCCCCTTCTACCCACCAAGCAGCAAGGGACACCCAGACCACGTTAACATCTCTCCAGGAACATGGTTTTCTCATAAATTGGAAGAAGAGCCAGTTATCCACGTCTACTCGAATAACTCATTTAGGGGCAGTCATTGATACGGTGGAAGGCAAGGTCTACCTGTCTTCAGATAGACTACTTAGTATTCAAAAATTGGTTAGGGAGATCAGGCGCTGTAGGAGGGTACCCTTACTGGATTTGTCAAAATTATTAGGGAAAATGATATCATGCATTTCTATTGTTCCCTGGGCCCGTCTTCACACCAGATCCCTCCAGTGGTTCCTGCTCCCGTACCAGAGATCCGGCAGAAGCAATTCCAAACTCACGGTCAGGGTACCTCTCAAGGTCCTCACGTCCCTTCTCTGGTGGGCCAAACCGGTCATCAACAAAGGCTGCTTCTTCAAGGAGCCCCAAAGGCTGACTATAACCACAGATGCCAGTCTATATGACTGGCTCATGTCCAGTCACTCACATCCCAGGGCAGATGGTCTGCAATAGAGCAGGCGTGCAGCACCAACTGGCTGGAGTTTCACGCCGTGCACCTGGCCCTGCGCAGCTTCCTCCCCCAGGTACGTGGGCAGCACATTCTCATTTTAACAGATATCGTGACAGCCAAAGCCCACATCAACAAACAGGGGGGCACGCAATCAATACAATTAATGAGGGAAGCCAAGCGCCTGTGTCGCTGGGTGGAGAACAATCTTCTGTCCATCAAGGCAGAGCACATCTCGGGCCTATCAAATACTCAAGCAGACTGGTTAAGCAGGGCCACCATGCCACCAGTCAGAGTGGCGCCTCCACCTATCCCTGTTTAAAGAAGCAGCAAGGATATTTGGTCAACCAGTGGTGGACCTATTTGCCTCCCCCCTCAATGCCCAGCTCCAAGGTTCTTCTCAAGGTACCCATCCCAAGGGGCAGAGAATTACAACGCGCTCCGCTGCCCATGGCCCACGGGGCTCCTGTACGCATTTCCCCCTCTAGCACTGTTGCCCAGGGTTATTCAGAAGTTGCTCCACGAGAAAGCGGAATTGCTACTAGTGGCACCTCACCGGTCCAGACGGCCGTGATTTGCGGACCTCCATACTCTCTCAGTGGCCCCTCCCTGGACGATTCCACCAGACAGGATCTCTCTATCCCAGGGGCCACTTCTACACCCGGACCCTCAATGGTTTCAACTAACCGTCTGGAGGTTGAGCGGAGCAGGTTGAGGAGCGAAATGCTCTCCAACAAGGTCATTGACACCATTCTAGCTGCCAGACAGCCCTCAACCATTCGAATTTACAACGCCACATGGGCCATTTTCTGTAGATGGTGTAGCAAGTTTCAAATTAACCCCACTTCCCCTTCTATTGCTCAGATTTTAGAATTCCTTCAGGAGGGACTGGACAAGGGGCTGTCTCCTAATACACTAAAGCGACAGGTAGCTGCACTGACATCAGTTCTTTCTTCTGAGGGTTTTACTTCCCTCTCTCATCACACAGGTATAAGGGCCTTTCTTAGAGGGGCCACCAACTTGCGACCCCCAGCAGTGCACCGTTACCCCACCTGGGACCTTAACAAAGCCCTTCTCTCTCTCACCAAGGAACCTTTCGAACCCTTGAGGGAGGCAAGCCTCCAATTTTTGACATATAAGGTGGCTTTCCTCGTAGCCATTACATCCGCTTGGCGCATATCGGAAATAGCAGCCTTGTCTATCAGACAAGACCTCTGTGTTTTCCATGCTGATCGGGTGATTCTCCGTCCCGATCCCACCTTTTTGCCCAAGGTCAATTCAGCCTTCCATAGAGCCCAAGAGCTCATCCTTCCGAATTTTTGCCCCAGACCATTGCAGGAAAGAGAGAGGCAATGGCACAAACTGGATGTAAGGCGCACCTTGAGAATCTATATCAAGCGCACTGAGTCCTTCAGAAAATCTGAGGCCTTATTTCTTTCTTTTCAGCCCAAAACACAAGGTCACAGGGTATCACCGTCCACTATAGGCCGCTGGATCAGGGCAGCTATAGCTAAGTCTTATCAGTCCCAGGCCCTGCAGGTGCCCAGAGGCATAACTGCGCATTCCACTAGGAGTGCAGCAACTTCGGCAGCTTGGGCTACCCAGGCACCAATAATCGAGCTCTGCCGGGCGGCGACTTGGGCTTCCCCATCTCCTTTCATCAGGCACTATAAAATTGATGTGTTTGCATCGGCAGAGGCCTCATTTGGCAGACGGGTTCTGCAAAGGGTTCTTAGGGACTCTGAGGAGATTCCAAACCAGACGGAGTCCCTCCCGTAGGACAGGCCAAGCTTTGGTATGTCCCACTACTGGATGCTCTGAGCAGCTCATAGGAAAAGGGGCGTTGGTGCTTACCTGATACGCCCATTCTCTTTGAGCTGTGAAGAGCATCCAGCCCCACCCTTTTTTTCCGTCTGGTGGGACCTCGTTTTTGGACAAGGAACCTTTTTTAGGTAGTAGGGATGAGAGCACCTTTTTTCCTCTCGTCTTCGCAAAACTGGGGAACACTGTGGAGGAGTCACGTGGAGGAGGAGGAGCGTTTCTCAATTCAAGCTCAGCCTATGAATGCAGAGACTGAAGCACCTCCCACTACTGGATGCTCTTCGCAGTTCAAAGAGAACGGGCGTATCAGGTAAGCACCAACGCCCTATTTCTATATTAATTGTTGTTTAGCAGGATTTTACTTTGTTGAAAAAGCATAATTCCTGAAACTTTTGTGTAACTTTTAGGTCAGGGGTGTAAAACTCATATTGTCACAGTGGCATCAAGTGATGTATTGTGACTTTTCCTCCTTTGCTAAACCTGGCGTGGGCATGGCCAGCACATGACGCATCCGGCCTGTGAGTTTGGAGTTTGAAAGCCCTGTTTTAGGTGATCTTTCTTGCATCTAGTCATTCTATGCTGTATACATATAAATTTAAATTCTTTGCTGTATACATGTAAATTTAAAATATACATCTGAAATTATCATTTTTAGTTATCCTATTGATCATACATGGACAACTGATATTACAGTAGTATATAGTAATGTGTGTTGAATTTTTTATCTTCCCTAAGTCTGTGTATGGCTATGAAATATATAAAATGTTGGCAACAACAGGTACATATATGAGTCCTAACACTATTACTCTGAAGTGCAAGCAGCCTTCATTAAAGTAAGGGAACACACTTTTCAAAGGGCTGTACTTTAACTTACTAAGATTTAATGAAAAAACTGTTTTCTCCTTACAGCTGGGCTACTAATTTTTTTAAGCCCCAGGGGACTTTACAGCCTTTGCTGAAGACCCTTACACTTGTCTACAAATAGTCATTGACTCACAACCAATTGTTTATAACCTTTTGAAGTTGCGACACTGAAAAAAGTGACTTATGACTTTGTCCTCACGCCTCCTCATGCTAACAAGATCAAAATTCAGGTACTTGGCAACCAGCATGCATTTATTATGGTTGCAGTATCCCAGGGTTATGTGATCAGCATTTGCAACTTTCCCAGTCAGCTTCTGACAAGCAAAGTCAATGTGGGGAAAACTATTCCCTTAATGACCATTTGATGCAGAAAAGGTTATAAAACCAGGCAAGACTCACTTAAACGATAGCCTTGCTTAACTTCAGAAATTCGGGTGCCAACTGTGATTCTAAGTCAAGGACTACTTGTATATTGATTCTGTCAATACTCCATCCCAAAGATGTTTTTTCAAGGGGCCATTAGACTTTCTGGTTTTTCTTTGAAGATGTTTTGCTTCTCATCCAAAAAGCTTCTTCAGCTCTGGCTGGATGGTGGAGAGTGGAAGTCAGAGCTGAAGACGCTTCTTGGGTGAGAAGCGAAGCATCTTCAAAGAACAACCAGAAAGTCCAGTAGCCTCTTGCAAAAGCATCCTTGGGACAACCATGACCTGGATGACTGAGAATAACACAACCTTACTTAGTTGTGAACCTGAAAATTAAAATGAGAAAATCCATTTGGGAGACTGGGGCAAGTCCTACCTTAAAACCTAAATCTTCATTTGAAACTTGTGGGCATGCTTTGATCTGGCTTTACATTCTGTTATGACAAACATAAAAGTCCATTGGTTGCTTCTACCAGGTCTCGGGTAATTATTTCGCCTGCCCGCCCGTGGAGTTAATGAAGGTCGAGAACAGGTATTATTAGGCCCCCGTCCTGCGACCTCCGCGGGTGACTGAACTCGCGGGGGTAGCAGGACGGGGACCTAATCATATCTTGACTGAGGTCAAGGCGGATCAGAGCGAACAATACTTGAGTTTTCAGGAACAAGGGGGCAGCGAAGGACTGGCTTGTTGGGAGGGGCGAGATGCAAGGAGCCCCCCTCCCGTTTATTCACTCGGAACGGGACTCGTTTCACGGGTGCGGTGCTTTCCTGCCTAAAGAGGTCCGCATCGCAATTCTGTCAATCACCCATTACCGTTCATCGTACTGTAATTGGACTCTGCGCCCGGTACTGATTAGTAGCAACGCCCTTTTTTACACGGGGTTTCCTAGGGTTGATTCTCTAGAGTTTCAACCGTGCGGCGCACCTATCCTTGGCGGGCTATCTAGCCACGCCTCCGCGGCATCTTTCTCCTAATAGTGAAGGTAGCGTCGTCTCGTTGGTCTTCGCCTGACTCTATTTCTTCTATTCCTGCCTTAATAGGCCTTTTGTCGGCAATTATTGGTTATGGGAGGCATCAATCCTGCTCCTCGTTCTCATCCTCCCCTTAACGCTATTGGACTATTTTCTTGCCATTCTGGAAGCTGTCCATACCCTTTTTGTCTTGTGACCTATCGATCTCCGAGACGGGAACTTGGCCGACAGCTGATTGGATATGGGTATGCAATAATGTTAGGGTGCGCGACGGGTATATTTACCCGGCGGCTGAGCACGCTGTTGCGTGAGGTGCTTTCCGTCTCTCGTCGTGCGTGTCTGCCTTGTTCGGAGTAAAACCTCCTCTCGTCCAGCTCCGCCTCGCCCTCAGGTTGGTTTGGGAGGGTAGGCCGGGTCACGTCCTTCATAGGGCTGCAAACGGCTCCATCGTCACCATCACCATAGATGCGCAGGGCCCGAGCGGCGGCTGCGGCGACGACGACGACGACAGCGGCGGCTGCGATCCTCCTCCCCTTAGTTCCTCACTGCGGGTTTGGGTTCTCTCGGACTCTAGGGCCTTTTTTCGGGTCCAGAACGGGGCGGAGGAAGGAGATGCCGCAGGCTGCTTCTGAAGAAAGGCGGCGGCGGCGGCGGCGGTGGGGGGGAGATCGATCCTGTTCAACGGCCCTGGCAGGCGCCTTGCGGCCGAAGGGCTTAGAAGTCTGCCCGTCGGCGTTGGACTTAGCGAGTGGCGGAATGAGGAGGACGCGGTGGGGGTGGGAGGGCCGGCGACGAGGGAGAGAGCTTCGTCTCTCTCTGCTCCTTTGTAATACGTGCCTGCAGGAGCGAATCGGCGGTGTTAGCAGGCCCGGCCGGCCAAGGGATGTGAAGGACGGGAGGGTCGGCCTAACGCACGCGCGTGGCCGGGCAGGATCGTGCTTTTAGAGTTGGCGGGGGTGGCACTCTTAAGCCCGCCCCGGAGATGGTAGTTACCGGTGCCAAACCTTCTCTGCCTCCCCCTCTTGTGCCCTGAGGTGGGAAAGGGGGGGGAGGTGGCCCCGCGCCCTGAATAGCTCAGTGAAGGAGGTACCTGAGCGGGTCTGTAAAAAGCCGCGGGCCTGCCAAAGGGGAGGAAGCGGGACGCTAAAGGCCGCCGCGGCTCTTCTCTTTCCGATTAAAAAGAAAGAAAGGACGAAAATCCGCGACACTTTGCCATCTTCGGCGATGTATGGTAAAACGAAAGAGACGTGAGATGGCCGGTTCTTCTTTTTTTAAAAAGAAAAAAAAACCGTAGCAGAAATAACTGCAAGTAGAGGACAATGGTGTCCTTCAATTGCGAAGACAAAAAAGAAAAAGGAGGCATTTGATAAAAGGGGGCAGCGCTGCAAAGTGAACCAAGGTGGCGGCAGCTTTATTGTCCATCTAGGAGCTTTGTCTGTTGCCTCATGTAATTGACAATTTCATTCCACCTTCAGCAGATCTAACCTTGTGTGTGTGTGTGTGTGTGTGTGTGTGTGTGTGTGTGTGTGTGTATAGATGTATATGTATGTATGGTATTCTGCTGTATTCAACTATAATGACGAGGGAAAACACCCGAACAAAGCTAAATACCATACATATAAATACCTGCAAAAACTTAAGAAAACATATCTATCTCTCTCTCTCTATATATATATATATCTGTATATCTATATATATCTCTATCTATCTATCTATCTGTCTGTCTGTCTGTCTATCTATCTATCTATCTATCTATCTTTTGATCTATCTTTTGCAGGGCCAAGAACCAAGTTCTCCCTTCACCAGGCCTGTTTGTGTGCAGATAGGTATGTGCAAACATGCACAAAAACCTGCATTTAAAATCATAGACATGGATTTTTCCAATACTTTTGAGCCTTTCACGTATCATCTGTCTTGTACTTTTAACCCCAGGAGTCTTTAACAGAAATCATTCATATGTATGTTCACTTGGCAATAGAAATCTGGGATGAACATTGTAACTAATACGTAAACTGTGTCAAGTGGGAGCTTTATAATCTAATGCTGAGTTAGGCAGGGTGTAGCCATGTTTCCAGTCAGCGCTATTTTTGTCTTATTGGCAGCATTACCTTTAGGAAGTGTAGCTGGATCTAAGTTTTATGTGTATGACTCCTTTATAACTTAATATTTGGAAGCTGAAGAAGTCATGGTTTGAATGTAGTTGAACACTGAATGTAGTTCTATTAAACTCAATAACACAATTTTTTTTTTTTGGAATGTCAGTTATGTTCCCATAAGTTAAAGACCACAATGAAATATCCTAATGGGTATTTTGACCTTTGTACTAGTGTCAAGTGATTCTTGGAGCCTGATATGGCAGTACTTATATACTTCTTATTCCAAACAATTTTACCTTTTCAGAATTTTGAGTATATGAAAATGTTATTTTTCCCTTCCATGCTTTTTAATATTCCTCTTATAAGGAATGCTGTAGGTGTGTGTCATAGAACTTCTTTCACAGAAAAAAGTTCTATGAAGCTTCAGACTATGAGAAGATTAATTTTTATATGAAATAATAGCAGCAGGAACAAATGTAGCTTTGCTGGGTTTGGCAAAATATTTTTAGGGTTAAGCAAAAAAACCAGTTCCCCTTCCTAACTTAAAATAAAGGAATAATTTGTATGAAGAGAACAGAAGAAAAGTTTTCATGCATCTGCTTGTGGTATAATGACTTGGTAAGTAGTTCATGTAGCTTTTCACTGAGAACAAGTTTGAAAGGAGCAGTGGTGCTCTAAATTGCTCTTTTACTAACTTGCCACAAAAAGATGTTAACTTCTATCTCCAACCGGTTGAGGAATTGTTGTAAATTCACACATTTTTTTCCTTGATTGGTTAAGATTGGGGCATATGTGATAGCTTCTTTATGAATAACTGTAGAAAGCTACAGTACCAAATTACAATGGAATTTATATCCCTCTTGCTGGCAAAGAGTTTTATTGTGAATTTCTAAATGTTGGGAGTGTGTTGCTAAATCACATTCTTTTATTTATATTAGTATTAGAATTTATTAGTATATATAACCAAGGGAAAGCCATGGGCAGGACATTTCTATGGTACATTTCAGTGTGTAGTGGGAGAAGGGTTCATAGTGGAAGAACTGCCATTTTGTCAAGCATGTTGAGTTGTTCTAGTGAGGATGAAAAGAAAAGTTTTTCCTTCCTGACATGTCTCTTCCTTTGATAGCAAACAGAAGGAGAAGCTGAATATTAGTATCCCAGAGTAGTTTCTCCTACTCTGGCATAAGATTTGCAAATTTTACTATTTGCAGTTTTACTATTAGAACAGTGGCTGCAGAGATGGGTATTACTGCTTCTAACCTAAGGACTTCCATAGCAGGTTTGCCTCACTGATGGTTTAATCCTGTAGTTTATGTTAAGTGTTAAAATGTCAGAGTAAAAATTAACTTAATAATGCATTTTAAGAATATTCCCATCTACAAACAGGATTGTTCACAGTGATAGGGAATATATGATAACTCTTAGCACCTAGTGCTCAATGGGAAAGACTCTTAGGTGTTTGGTATCTGAAGGGCAAAGTTCCCCAATCCATAGTTAAATACAAGGTGAATATTAAGCAGTGACATAAGAGGCTCAGTACACAATATGTAAATGTTGAATAAAACAAGTACTGTTCTGATTATTTGAAAAAGCTAAAATTTAATTGGTATTGGCTAAAATGAAAAGTGGTTAACCTTGGTATCAGATGTTATTAGTTTATAAATAACTGCTTTTAATGATAAATATTAAATATAAACACATTGTTTTTTGAAAATGCTAGAATTAGCTCATCAGTGTTGCTGTCTAATTCATAGAAATCGGCATGAGCCATTGCACAGTTTCAAGTTGTGTGCCGGTTGCTCCCATTCCTGGATTGAGAGGCTCTGCTTATGATCGCTCATGTTCTAATCAATGTACTGCAATGCACTGCACATGGAAGAATATCCTGAAGCATCAATCTGGTGCAAAATGTGATGGTGTAGGCAATTACATTTTTCTTTGGCAAAACCAAGATGCCGGTTTGGCTTTTAAACCCCTTCATGCCATGGGGCATACTGTTTGAAAGACCACCTCTCCCTGATTATCTCTGGCTGCCCAGTCAAGTCTAGCAGAAAAGGTATATTATGAGTCCTATCTACAAAAGTGTTACATGTGGTAAGTCCCAGGAGATGAGCCTTTTATGCCTTGTGGAAGTCCCTCTAAACATGATTGGACCAGTAGGCTACGTGGTCTCCAGGAAATGGCTGCATTGTCTATAAAACATCAAATCCTCTACTAGTCTGTAACATCAAGTCAATGTGTTTAATTCTATTTTTTTTTAAAAAAATGTTTTTATTAGATGCTGCTCATAGTCACAGTTTGTGATATTGGCAGCTCTATATATACAATGAAATAAATGAAGTTATTAGTGATAGTTATGTAAATTTCAGTTTCTATTTGTACGTCCTGCACTCTTCTTTTTGAGTTCCCTACATGCTATTGAAAATTATTACGCTAAGAAGGACTTAATCCATTTCTATCAGTTTATATTGTCTTACTCTCTGAATCCAGGTTTCACCATTTTTGGTCACCATGATTAAAATGGGATGTCTTAAAGAGTGACAACAAATGTTCCCAGATGTGAAATTGTACAGATGGATAGATGATGTAGATGAATGCAACTGAAGAAAATGCAGGGTCAGTTTAATTGAGTCTTTTATAATTTTCTCTAATTCTGTTGGCAAATGTACTATATAGTATCCATTACATTCGTCCTTGCTGGATGGTCAAAATATCTAAGCAGCTTATGAAAACTATTTTACAGTTTTAAAAATGTGGCAACAGGAAAATAAAACCCAAACTATTGCATGCCAGACTGAAAAAGGTTCTATTAATTAAAGGTTGTGGCTTGAAAAATAATATTTCAGATAAACTTCTGGTGGGTATAATTCTTTTACCTGTAATATCTTACTGTAAATTATTCCCATGCATTTGGTGATAGGAGTACCTGCAGATTATGTGTATGAAGCTGAATTCGCTGGAGTCTTCTGGAACATTTCACTCTAGATGTAAAAGGCAGATCCATTCCTTCCAGTTCTTTGATAGTTGGTGCCCAAGTATGGTCTTTTATAATTTTCTAGTTACATATATTGGAATTTCTGACTACAGTAATCCTCAATTTACAACCATAATTGAGCCCAGAATTACGATTGCAAGTCATAGTGGCCATTAATCAGGTCACCATGTGACTGCCTAATTTTATGATTTTTTTTTTGTGCTTGTAGTTATACCCATGAGCATTTTTCACTAGAAATCAAAAATAAACATTGGAAACCAGAAAAAATGCTGAAGGACCGTTGTAAACAGCTATGCATGTGATCAATTGCCAAGTGCCCAAAATGAGACCACAAGACTGGGAGGGGCATGTGTAGCTGTGGAAACTTTTTGGTGGTCCATCGTAACTTCAGGCAGTCACTAAGCAAGGTCGATCTATATAGGATTTTTCTGACTGAAGGGAAATGCAGAACCAGATTTTGTTGCTATGCCCATACATTACTAAAACATTGTTTAGAGTTATGAAGGGATAAGGAAACAGTGCTGAAATCTAAAGACAAGATTTGTGAAAGCTACCATGTCTTATTTTCCCTCTCAGTAATGTTCTTGATTACTGAGGGGGAGAATGGGACAAGGTAGTTTTTAAATAATGGAAATTGGACAATTTCATATACTCCTGTCCCTTCCACAAATAGAAACAGTAGTTTGGTTCTGACCTGATTAATTATGTATCCTAATTGGTTTGGAAAGTGAGATGAAATATATCGCTTCAAATGTATGAACCAAGCATGAAGAAAAGCACTTTTCTCCAAAATAGCTTCAGTTACCAAAATTAAATATGCATTACTATGGCTTTTCAACATTTCTACTAAGAGGCGTTCTATAATCATTCTAATTTGACCAAGTGGGAAGCAAGTGGATGAATTCTCAGTAATATTATTTTCTGCACTATATCAGAGACATGCAGCTCCTGGCTTCCCAACATGATCCATGTTGTCAGTCATTTTGTGAGAGTGCTCACAACGTGATCTTCACTTTCCAGAGACACTGTTCCCCCCCCCCCCAAATAAATAAATAAATCAGCATTAATAATTATCATAAAAAGCATTTCTTTAGGGACTTGCCAACCTGGTAGTGTCCAGGTCTGTTGAGTTACATTTGATAAGTTGAAATTAATAAAGCTGGAGTGTATGATGCAAATCCTCTTCTGTGGTACAGAACCAATATCCAGATGTCTTTGTACTGAATGGCATTATAGTGTCCTTATTTCTAAATTGTTTATAAATCAATTTAAAAAATTTAAGGGTGATTTTGCTTATTAAATTTAGTTGCCACTTATCTTGCCATGGGGCTACTCCAGATGCTATGAGACAAGGCTCTTCTGGATCCTGAAAGTCAGAATTCTGTGATTAATGGGATTCACAGTAGGTTCTCTCTGCCTACACGAATAGGACAGGCTTGATTGGGATAAGATAATTCATCAGATAGCCTGGACCTATGCCATTAAGGGCTTTAAAGGTTATAACAACATCTTGAATTTCATTCAGAAGCAGTCGGTAGCTGATGAAATTCATGGAGTATAGATGTAGTATGAGGCCATCTTAAGAATCCCCCAAGTCCCAAAGATGATGGAATTCTGTGGCCCAGTTTAAGTCTATCTTGTAAATTTAATGAAATAGGTTAGAATCTTATTTGCTACGTTGAGTATAGCATTATGTTATAGAAATTTTTAAGATGGTAGTAGAACTTAATTTGATTGTAAGCCTTTCAGTTACAGGAAGTCCCTCAGTTAAGAACATCCAACTTAAGGACAAGCCCTAAATACAAATAAGTTGCCTATTACTGAAAATGGCAGATGGCATGGTGTTTCCTCATGCCCATAGTATGATGAAGTTGTACAATGCTTTTAAGGAACCACTGAAGCAATGTGATGTTTTCATCAGTTTGTGAAAGCATTGTGTAGCTTCAAGGTTTTGTCACCACCCAAGAAAGGACAATATTGTCTGCCATTTTTAGTAATACATAGTCTGTTTGTAAGTACAAATTCTAACTTCCAGAATTTGGCTTAAAGACAGAGTTAGGAATGGAACTCATTCTTAACCTGGGAACTTCCTATATATGGATTCTATTCTGAGAGCACATGCTATCAGTGTGCTAGTTTATATACTGGATATCATGGATTTCCTTTCTACACAGGTTTAAATCCCCAAAGTGGATTTTTATGAGCCATGGTGGCACAGTGGTTAGAATGCAGTATTGCAGACTAACTCTGCCTGCAGCCAGGAGTTTGATCCTGCTGGCTCAAGATTGATCTAGTCTTCCATCCTTCTGAGGTTGGTAAAATGAGGCCCCAGATTGTGGGGGCAATAGGCTGACATTTGTAAACTTCTCAGAGAATTCTGTAAAGGACTATGGAACTATATAAGCCTACACGCTACTGTTATTTACGTTAAAAAGAAGCATTACTGATGGGGTCATCACTTATTAAGTTTTGAAGTTCTGCCACCAGGTTGAATTACAGTAGATGTGGTTCTCACTTAGTGACCACTCAAAATGGTATTGAACAAGTGGCAGTTATCATCCATCCTTATACTCCTGTTGATTGCAGCATACTTGTAATTGCATACTTGCAGCATATTTGTAATTGGGAGCCAGCTTCTAGTTACAACATCTGAGTGTCCAGATTACCATTTGTGATCTTTGGTGGCTTCCTACAAGCAAAGTTAATGGGGAATCCTGCAGGAGGTTACCAATGGTGACACCCTCACTTAATGATACACAGTCATTTGCTTAACAGCAGCCATGAATGGTAGAATTTATGTTGCTAATCTGTGCAGTCATATGTTGCACTTTATGACTACATCACTTAGTGATGGAAATTCTGGTCCAAATTATTGTTTGTTAAGTGAGAAATGGCACAGTTTCTTTTTTAGGGAGCTCTAGAATATTCAAGATTTAATGAACATTCTTTTCATATTAACCTGATGCTTCATAATAATTCATTCTTGACATTGTAAAGTTATAAGATGGGTTTTTTTCTTTTATATCAGAACCCAATTGCTAAGCATGTTTCTTTCCAATTTCAGTTTCCAATATCATATAACCTATTATATCTGATTCCTACAATACAATGGTATTAGTTCAAACTAAACTGTCATGCATTCAAGTGATTTTAAGTAGGCATTTAAGCTGTTTAGCTTCATTAAACATTAGTTTAACAAAGGCAGACTTTTATACATGAACTATAATTCATAACTATAATTATTCACAAATCATTTATTTTGGTCAGTGTTGCCTTGTATGGGTCTTTGATAATAGATCTGGACTTCTTTGCTTACACACAATAACACTACAATAGGATAGTTCAGATATAGAAGCCAGGTCAAGCACAGATCCGGATTTCAACTTGCCCTAGCCAAATCTGTCCTTGTAATATTGTTACAGAACCTAGTAACCTAGTATCAACATGGACTGACATATTTCCTTTTTCTAAAATGATAATATTTTTGTGTTTTTGCAAAAGAAAACATGGATATGTAGTTCAACCAGGTTTTAGGATTTATTACATTAAATTGTTTTTTATATTGTATAATTATTTTACATTGGTTTCTGAGCAAAAGAGTAAATGGGTAACAGTTTGAAATGCACTGTCTAAAAATAAATCAATATTATTTCAGCCCTTTAGATGTTGTCGTTGACTTTAGGATTGATGCCTCCAAGCAGATACTCTAGAATTCATTCAGAATATTAATATTTTTGTCTATTTATTTAATTTGTGTAGCCCAGATATCTCACACATGTGACCCTGGTTGCCTCACAAAGTTTTTTTTAAAAGCATAAGAAAAAACAACAGTAACAAAAAACAACAGAAACACAATTAAAAATAATTAACCATACAATGTAAAATGCAGGAGAGTATCATCCAGCAGCTTTTAAACAATACAGCCATCTTAACAGTTCCATACCTCCTGGATCCCTAGATTAGAATCATGTCTACAGGTTCACCCGAAAGGCCAGTGAGCTAAGGCCAGTCTAAACTCAGGGGCAGTGATGTTCCAGAAAGCAGGTGCCAAGGTAGAAAAGGGTTTTGTCTTGAGTGCCATCGGATGAAACTCCCTAATAGGCAGTATCCATAGTATTATCTCTTCTGCTGAATCTGATGGTGTAAGTAGATGTAACCAGGGAGAGATGGTCCCTCAAATAACCAGTTAGTAAGAATACAAATAACTGGTTAGTGAGAATACTATGTTTCATATACTACTTACCCTAATCAGCATATCTGTGGATAAATAACTATAGCTATTTACTTGTATAATAGACAATTTTCTTACATTTATTTATTTACATTCACTGCTAGTATTTCAGTACCTCTTGATGTTTGCTAGTCCTGTTTATGTGTGTGTTTGATAGGAAAATAATCAAGATGATCTTTCTTGCATCTGAATGTGGTTCACAATGAGAAATATATTAGCATTTGCCATGAGAGCTTTTATTCTTCTTATATAGTTAATTCACGTGGTTAGCCCTCTAAGATTTTATCCAGATTAATGAATGTGAAAAGTTTAATTCTTTCCATGTGAGCAAATTATATTTTACAAAGAATACTTTTGTTTCGATGATAACCATTTCTATGTGATTTTGAGATTGGGTAACCTATTATGGCAGTAGTATATATTTTCAAACTTTGCTGGTAAAGACCATCAAAGTGGTCAGATCTCTGATAGATGGCACTGTTTCACTACCTAGGCAAGATAACTTTGATCAAAATATTGATAAAAATGAAGCATCTATTTAGGTCTTTTTGTGTGATCCACAGAAAGGAGAGGAAAGTATTTTGCTGGACTTTTCCTGAAGAAAAGAGATTAATTAAGAATTGATCTGTTAGATGAGGTGTAGATGAGGTAAAAGGAGACCTTTTGTCGCTTTAATGTGTATTCTCTTGAGTGTATTAGAAGAACTTGAATGTGTGATAACTTTCCTTTCATATGAGATCTTTTTGGAAGTTAGAGATAACTCCTATATTTCAGGCTGAATATGCAAAGCCAGCTTATAGACTGAGGATTGTCATGTGCTTAAGGACCCTAAAGAGTGCTTGGGAAGAAGAAAATCATTTTTTTTATATCCCTGAATAGTGCTTGAGTTTTAGGATAATTTAATAAAATATGAAATAAATGATACATTAACTTAGCCAAATTTAACTTGCTAGACTTTAGATGTATTCAGATTTTTATGAAGATTTTGGCCTTCAGTTTTCAGTTGACCAAAGAAATGGTGATGGAGAAGCCAAGTCCCCTGCTGGTTGGGCGGGAGTTCGTGAGACAGTATTATACTCTGCTGAATCAAGCACCAGACTATCTGCACAGGTACAGTTTTCAACTTACCTTTGAAAGCTTTTCTAACAATACATTAACCTGTTCTTCTGTTTGATATTTGCATATATCATAAACCTTGTGCTTCATTCCTTTTTCTTACACCAGCTTCTTATCATTACTTTTACGTTTTTAGCAATTTGCCTATGGCATTAAAGAACAAAACCACCCCTTAAAATTTGTTATTATGCAAGCAGATTTCTTATCTACATACTTTTTCTGTGCAGCTTTCAGATATGTTCTCAACAAATTGGATAATTCTTTGATGCAGATTTTAAAACGAACATGAACTGCTCCACTCCTTTCTACTACAGTTAATCCTAGTCTTATAGAATTAGAAATGTTTATTGGCCAAGTGTGATTGGACACACAAGGAATTTGTCTTTGGTGCCAATGCTCTCTGTACATAAAAAGAAAAAAATACATTCATCAAGAATCATAAAATACAATACTTAGTGATAGTCATAGGTTACTAAATAAGCAATCAAATCATACTAGGCAACAAATTAAACAATATAAATCATAGAGATACAAAGCAACAAGGTTATAGTCATAAGTGGGAGGAGATAGGTAATAGGAAGGATGAGAATAATAATAGTAATACAGTATTAGTAAATAGTTTGACAGAGTTGTGGGAATTAGTTGTTCAGCAGAATGATGGCATTTGGGAAAAAAACTGTTGTTGTGTCTAGTTCTGATGTGTGGTGCTCTATAGCATTTTGAGAGAAGAAGTTGAAACAATTTATGTCCAGGATATGAGGGGTCCGTAGATGTTTTCACAGCCCTCTTCGTGACTTGTGCAATTGGTTTTTCTGCAGTTCTAATTATCCGTGAAGTCTCTGTCTGTCTTGTTTGGTTGCAGAGCCAAACCAGACAGTTATAGAGGTGCAGATGATAGACTCAGTAATTCCTCTGTAGAACTGGATCAGCAGCTCCTTCGGCAGTTTGAGCTTTCTGAGTTGCTGCAGAAAAAACATTCTTTGTTGTGCTTTTTTTATTACATTTTTAATGTCCGTTTTAAGTCTTGAGATATGATAGAATCTAGAAACTTGAAGGTCTGTATTGTTGATACCGTGTTATCTAGTATTGTAAGAACAGCCAGAATTGGGGCCAAAATGGCATGTCAATTCTGGCTATTCTTACAATACCAGACAGTTAAGTAAAGCAGTCATTAAGCGAGATGTCATGTGGCTGCCTTGCTCAAAGACCACAATCCTGGCACTTTTGATTGTGATCATTAAGAGACAATCACTGATTGTGATAATTAAGGGAGAATCATGGATGTTAAGCAGATGCGTCCCAGGTAAGGAATGCGGAGGAGTTTCAGAGGGATGGGGAATACCCTAGGAGGTCTGATATTCAGCTGGATCCTAAAGGGAGGCAGAAAAGCAACAATTTTTTTTCCTGAATTATTCCTGGTTTTAGCATGTGTAGCAAATGCCTGCAGGAGAAGCTGCGTCCAAAAAGGAGGCAGATGAGCAATGAAAAGGGTATGAAAGGAAGTTAGCAAAGGGAATGAAGCACCTGTGCTTTGGCTACTGTGGCTGGCTGCAAGTGTTGTGAAGGACTAGGACAGAAGGTAGCTAGATGAGCCCCACAGTTTTGGGTTAGCTTGCTGCCCTGCAAGGGTAGGGTAGCAGGGGCAAAAGAACATAGAAGGGAGAGAGTCAGGTGAGTGCGGGAAAGTTCCAGCCTCCCCTGCATTCGTAAGTGTAGGCAAGGTAAATTTTGATCACATGACCAGGGGATCACTGCAACAACTGTAACTTTGGGTATGGGTCATAAATACCCTAGTTCAGTATTGTGACTCTGAATGGTCATAAGTAGAGGATGATCTTTATCACTTTTATTAGGAAAGATACTACATTGTATTTTAGATGTACTGTTCTGTGAAGTAAGATGCCTTTTTTCAAAAATCTCCAAATTCTAGAATTCCCCTCAGCTTTATACCAAGGTAAAAATGGGGATAAATTGTTTTGAAATTTGAATACTAACCAGCCTAATTTGCATTTTTGTAACTAATATGCAGATCAGAAGGAAGCTATCGTTCAGGGTTTTTTTATCTCGTTTGTTTTGTTACACTTGATGAAAAATACATTAGGAGAAATTCATAAATAATACCAGAAGAAGAGAATATATGTAGCTCAGGGTTGAACTGTGGAGTACTTGTTCTGAAGCTTGGCTGTTTGTTTGCAAGCTTTTTGCTAGCAGACTGAATACTTATTTCTTCACTAGTAGAAAGGAGAGGGATTTACTCTCTGTTTATATACTGTACTGCTCTTTCAGTGTTGGTGGGATGCTACTTTCTGTTTGGTAACTTCTTGAGTAGGCTGTTGTTTACTGCTTGTATGTCTTTAATAATCACATACGTTGGAAATAGATATGTAGTCATGTAATTCATGTACATTTCTTCATGTTTGGATAAAAGCACCAATTTTGGGGGGCATTTTCAGTAGCTTATTTAGAATTCAAGTTAACAGGTACCTGGATGAAGCAAACATGCAGCTTCATATTTTAAGTCTGCTATGTTTTGACAGAGCAAAAGTTGAAATAGGTGTTTTAGTCTAGTGGAACAAAACTCAAAAGTGATGTAAGTATACAGACAGTATGAAACAATGGGAATTTGAACAAGTCCTTTTCTTCATTTTTTATTTCAGTCACAAA